GCCGTCACCCTCGAGTCCTACCTGCTCGTCGGTGCTACGACTGACAGGTTAGGCCTCACATTGTTCTCCAATGCTCGATGGCTCCTTCCTGTGCCTTGGTTTCCTTCCTCTGCCTGATCCGGATGAAAAGCGGGAGGGACCGCATGGAGGCCAGGAATCTCGGAAGCAGAATCAGCTCCTAAAAACTGTATGTGCGGGTAATCTTGGCCGTTAATGGAGGTAATCAATCGGCAGAACTAATTTGGGTAGACGTGGATACCTGCAACAGTGCTCCACATAACCCTAATAACGTGGCCGCCGCCGTCACCCTCGAGTCCTACCTGCTCGTCGGTGCTATGACTTGACAGGTTAGGCCTCACATTGTTCTTCAATGCTCGATTGCTCCTTCCTGTGCCTTAGTTTCCTTCTTCTGCCTGATCTGGATGAAAAGCAGGAGGGACCGCATGGAGACCGAAGGAATCGAGCCAGGAATCTCGGAAGCTGGTCAACGGGAGCAGAATCAGCTCCTAAAACTGTTTGTGCGGGTAATCTTGGCCGTTAATGGAGGTAATCAATCGACATAACTAATTTGGGTAGACGTGGACGTGGTTTCTTGTCGAGGAGTTAACGCACTTTATAGGAGTTAATAACGTAGTAGCATAGTACTTTAACATAGTCAGTCGGTGACAATAAGAGAAACTGCAGATGCAAGCCATAGTTTAAATGCTCCAAAGTTTGGATTGGAATATGCAAAAAATGTAAGAAGGAAACCAAGGCACAGGAAGGAGCAATCGAGAGCATAGGAGAACAATGTGAGGCCTAACCTATCAGGTCGTAGCACCGGCGAGCGGGTAGGAGTAGGACTCGAGGGCGACGACAATGACATGTGATATTAGGGTTACGTGGAGCATCTGTTGGTATCTGTCCGCACCAAAGACACCGTGGAGAACAACAACAAGACGACAAAAACGACTTTGCGCGCCACCGCGATGGAAGCGAATCGGGATGTCTAGAACGGCGGGAGGAGCCCGCAAGCGGGTCGAGGAACGGCGCGTCTTGTCCAAGGTGTGGAAAGCGAGAGGGAGAAAGGAGGGAAAAAAAAAAGTGGGCAAACCTCGGGCTTGGGAGGAAACCGCTTCCCGCACCTTCGACCAAGACGCGCGTTCCTCGACCCGCTCAACGGCTCCTCCTGCCGTCCTAGACATCCCGGTCCGCTTCCATTGCCGGGCGACGCCGGTGCGTTTGTCGTCTTCTTCTCAGCTTTCTCCACGGTGTGCTTAGTGCGGACCAGATACCGCAATGATGCTCCACGTAACCCCTAATACCGCGGCCGCCGCCGTCACCCTCGAGTCCTACACGCTTTCGCCGGTGCTACGACTTGACAGTTAGGCCTCACATTGTTCTCTCTCGCGATTGCTCCTTCCTGTGCCTTGGTTTCCTTCTTCACTTGATCCGGATGAAAAGCGGGAGGGACCGCATGGAGACCGAAGAATCGAGCCAGAATCTCGGAAGTCAGGTCAACGGGAGCGAGTAATCACTCCTAAAAACTGTTTGTGCGGGTAATCTTGGCCGTTAATGGAGGTAATCAATCGGCATAACTAATTTGGGTAGATGTGGACGTGGTTTCTTGTCGAGGAGTTAACGCTTTATAGGAGTTAATAACGTAGTAGCATAGTACTTTAACATAGTCAGTTGGTGACAATAAGAGAAACTGCAGATGCAAGCCATAGTTTAAATGCTCCAAAGTTAGGATTGGAATATGCAAAAAATGTAAGAAAAGTAATGCCTATACAATGTGGCTGGCCTGCCACAGATAACACAGATTGTGAGGTGCCACAACGATTCCTTGCATCTGCAATGGATATGTTATTTAGGAGCAAAATAATATTCAAATATTGCAATGGTGGAGACCAATTCTCCACGAGTTGTATTCTCACTTATGGTGCACTGAAGCTTAGGATAGGTCATTAAGGATTTCTTCCCCTGCAGATACGAATCCATTGTGAGTGCCATTTTTAGCAAAACTAATATTTTCTTATAATTGTGCGAATACATAGATTCCCCACATTTTTTTCCTTGGTTCTTATTTCTAGATTTCAGGGAATTATACCAACGTTATGATAATGAACTATGCCTCCTTTACCATTGGTTTGGTGTAACTCTTCCAGGTCGGAGCTGATCAGTTTGTAATCACAACAGTTGTATACATGCAAACAGGTACATGCAAATCACTACGAACAAGATTATACATTTTCACACAAGATCTATTTTGCATTCGAGCATGGTTTGTAGCCTCTCTTTCGTGCTATATTAACTTCGTAATAATATTAAATGTAGCGCATATGACTGTTGTTCAAACTTTCAGATCATACCACCTTCAGATATCTTGTTTCAGTAGTGATGGAATTACTACACTTGACGGACTTCTAATTCTGTTGAAAGCTAGAGGGTAAACACAGATCATAAGACAATATAGCCCAGTTAGCTGATGGTGTAACTTATTAGAGGAAAATACTAAAAAGTTCAGTTATGAAAACCTATTCAACCTATGTGCCCCATCGTATGTTTCCTTCTTTTCCTCTTGATAACTGTACTTCCCATTTTTGCTGTTGGTATGCAGGGTATGACCTTGATAAACAGAGATACCTTCCTCTGTAGAGACTTGCCTGGGTTCCAAGGCCAATCTTGGTTACCCAGCTGATCTCCTTCCAGCGTCGCCACATTGATGATTGAGTTTCTACCACGGTATAGTGCTAATGGGCAATAGCCATGCTACAAATCTGTGTTTGCTACAGTTTTCTTTCTCAGTTACTATTACCGTAATATTATAGTTCAAACAGAGGACCCCTTCATGTTGCTGCTACCATGAAAACAATCTTTCTTCATGTGCCTTATATCAGATTTTGTTCTTACTGAATTGGGAATGCTTTATATTTCATGAGCTTTGGGAATGGCTGGTTCACCAGCCAGGCACGGCAACATTGTGGTTCGTAAGGCAGGTGCAAATAGCACAGGTATGATACAATTGTAGCATCCCTTGATAGCACAGGTATCTAAGTGTGTGTTTCTAGTCTGCATCCCTTGATAGCACAGGCAAATAGACTGGGTTTGCATGTCTTGACCGTGGTCCATAGCCGTTTTGTATGATACAATTTATTATGTGCCCTCATACTGTCTCAATTCATTTGTTGGATTATTAAAAAATTGGGGAAATGAAATGGCAATGCGTTTGTGATGTTTTTTTCCTACCTCTAACACGCTTACCACACATATTATCTGTAGCTGTTAATTGTACCAATCTGATTTCCTTCAAATTTTACTTTTTCTTAAAATAGGTTTGCTAAGCAGGCCAACTTTTATTGGGTTTGACTGGCGATCTTTTCTACATGTTTCAAAATTATATAGGTGGTAGTAAGCAAGTGTATTGACAGTAAGTAAATTTACTGATGAGTTTTAGTTGGTCAAAATATAGATCAGTACAGGATTTGTTCCATAAACTTCCGTATCCTAATAACGATATAACTTTATGTTACATAACTATTATGCTTTACGATCACATTGTTTCGTTATTTTAGCTTCACTAATTCAGTTCTATGTATCCAGACAATTTATCAAATTCTCTACTCCTTTCCGGGAACCAGACACCTGTCAACTAAGACCATTGTGTCTCTTGGTCAAGCGCAACAACTTGCGGCAAAGTCATGGTGCATGCGACACCATCTTGAAGATACAAACGCGTGCAGTTCACGATGGTAACGTCAAACTGCATCAGTTCCTTTTGAGCCACGCGTTGGGGTAGTTTGCGTACTCAATTGAGTTATCCTCTTTTTTTGGGGACCTTGTTTCTTACTAATCAGACGATGTCGGAAAAGGGCAATGTAACAATGACACAGCTTCTGCATAAAGTCTAGGGACTACTGATAGAGCACTAGGACTATTACACAGTCTCCGTGATCGATAACTACTAAAAGACTTGTCTTGTCAGTATCACCTTGTATGATGTATGCTAATGCACTGCTATCAGTCATTAGAAAAAATGACAAATTATGCACTGCAAGGTTCAATTTCTCGTGTACCCTTACAGCGCGCGCGAGGGCGCGCGCCCTATACTAGTAAATTAGATGGTTAACAAGTAACAACATGAGTTTGTGTCTCTTAGTTTTTGTATGTAATATATGTAAAATTTTGTTTGCTTTTCTCCTTAAATGTTAATAAATGGCATGGCACCTGAAATAGTTGCACCAGGAAGGTTCTATTTGCTTTGGAATCATCTCTGCTGTGTTTCCTAAGAGAAGATGAACAGTGTTTTCCTGCTCCGTCATTCGTGAGCTCCAAAAGTCAGCCACAAACATCAGGGAAGGGAAGATAGAGATGGTAACCTTAGCCAGAGGCCAGAGCAGCAGAGGGACCCGGACCAACGGGAGGAGGTCGCGCTCCAGCCTCGCCATCGATTCGTGCAGCTCGCTGTCGATCTGAGCTCCCCCGCCGCGCCGTTGATCCAAGCCGTGACTGTGGGCTTCCCGGCGGCGTGCGGCCTCGGGAAGGCCGGGGCAACAACGCGCGTGGCGACGCAACGCGACGGCAAAGGCCTGACCGTCAGCTCGGCTAACCGACTGCGCATGGAGCTGCTGGGTGGTTGGGCACCTATTGACGGCCTACGGAGAGCACAACAGCAACAGCATAGTTCGAGTTCCAGCGAGGTCAAAAAGAACATCAAAAGAGAGACGCTCTCATAAACACCATAATGTGAAATGTGACTTAGTAAGTATTCCTCGGTACAGGTGGTAAACAAAACCTGCGCTCTAACAGCATTGCCGTCCTACAAATTATTATGCATCAAGCATAACCTTATCCCGGAGCAAAAAAGATCTATTTCACCTGTTTAATGAGTTCCTCTCATCAAAAGGATGACGGACAAATTTTCCGTTTACAAAAAAAATAAAAAAAAATTCGGGAACTAAGCTCTCGACTGATAACAATTCCATCCTCCACCAAATATGATCTCAGGGAATACAGAAAAATCAGGCAATGGCTTTCGATTCAGCCTCCGCTGCTGGGGCAGGTGTAACACCTCCGGTGGTTGGGCTGAAACAGAAACAAAACAAAGCATTAATTGGTGATCTCTCGAAAGAATTTGGATGTTGCAGTGGTTATTCCTAAAGTAGTAGAGATACTCACAGTCCAACCATCACTTTGAAAGCATCATAAATTCCCCACTGAGCACCAGTAAGGGTACCAATCATGACGATACGAAGAGGAAGTCCTCTAGTGAAAAGACCCAAGAGACCAAGCTTCTTAACAGCCTGCAAGAATACAACAATATATAACCAATAGCTAGTAAGTACAAGAAGACGATATATATTTTGATGCAAAAGCAAGAATATATGCTTACATCGCCCACTGTAGCACCCTTGGCATTGTTCAGGAAAGACACAAGGTTGTCAGCCGGGTGAGACACAATAGCACAGAAGACACCAGCAATGTAACCGCCAGCAAAGCTAATACCCAACTGGGTAGTCTTGCTGCACTCAGACTTCGGAACAGGCACAGCATGCTTGTAGATAAGCTCAACGATGGTCTCAAAGGAAGCAAACTTCATCATGGTATCTGCAAACATCATACAAGTGCAACGGGTGAGTACAGCTGATTGTAGAAAAGTTTATTTTCCTGGTTACACAAAATAGAGGCAAAGTATGACTAAAGCTGCTACTATGGACAGTCAGGTGGGGCAATGACATTACTGCTATCAAAAAAATGGCATGGTACATAAAAAAAAAAGTACACAGTACTACTTATAAAAACAAGCCTTAACTGAAAATTGCTGAATGGCAATTCTGGATCCAGACAAAGGTATCTAGGAAGCACCTGACTTCAAGGTGGAAAACCTCTACTAGAGAACTACAACGTGCACAGCATTTTTGGTAAGACTTTAAATTTTCAATCAAAATGGAAATTTCAACCATAGTTGCTAGCAATTTCAGCTGAAACTCAGATACAAAACTTAAATAGTAGTACGGAATCTAACCATCCTAGAGCCACATGCAACAGATTAATACATTTTCGTTCCGACACAGATTTAAAAAAAAGGTATTCTTTTCACAAATCATGTGTCAATTTCCTAGATTTTACGAGAAAGGTGAACTGAACTACAATTGCTACGGGCAAGTATAAAACGAACGTTGGGGATAAACCCTATAAAGTGGATCAATAAAAGGGCGTACCCAGTGCAGAGAGCTCCCGCTCTGTGCGGGGTCTGGGGAAGGGTGTTAGTGGTAAGCCTTACCCTCGCCTGTGCAATGCGAGGAGACCGCGACTCGAACCCGGGACCTTCCGGTCACAGGCGGTAAGACTCTACCGCTTGCACCAGGCCCGCCCTTCTATAAAGTGGATCAATAAAAATATAGAAGTCAATGGCCATCCAGAATACAGAATGGATGAGAATTATCATAAAGCTGAAATGCATCAAATCTAGGAAAACATACAAAAAAAAAGTTTGTGGGTTCACAAGAAGTCAAGACATCAAGTGAGTTGTGCCACACAAACAAGATTAGTTTTTGAGCATTCAGTTTCAAATGTTCAATGGTTTTGCAACAGTCATTCAATGCAAACGATTAAAAACAAAAAGAAAGCTGTACTAAAGATGGCAAGAAATATGTACTTACAAGGAATCTGACGACCCCAGAGAGGAACAATTCCCTTGTAGAGCCTAAAATCATTAAGCAGCAAGAACTGTTAGGACAGATGGACGGAAACCAAGTCTCACAACGATAAATTTTTAGTCAGCCAATTTGCTTACCCAAGAGCACCCTCAGATCGGACAAATTTGGGGAGCCCATCACTCAACCCACGAGCAAATCCAGGTTGTGTCTGCACACGTACCTTCACAGCTTCAAAAGGGCAGAGAGCCACATCAGCAATTACCTCAGCCGATGCGGATCCTGCGAGGTAGATTAGAGTCTTGTACTTCTGGGCATACTCAGGCCCTGCAATGTCCGAGTAATACTTCTTAAAGAACTCATAGAAGCCAAACTTGCAAGCCCCCTGAGCGCTGTAACCAAGCAAGGTAGGCACCCATCCCCTGAAGAAGCCCCTAGCCCCTTGCTCCTTTAACAGGACACCAAATCCAGATGAGATACTCTTGTATTTCGCTGGATCGATCTGAAAAAATAACAAACGTTTTATGTACAAAATCCCTAATTTAAACATGGAATTAATTGCTTACACAATGAATCAGGCAGCTAGTATATATATACTTCCACCGTTTCAAATAGAAGTCATTTTAGCTTTGTCATAAGTCAAACTTGTTTAACAAGTTTATTGAAAAATACATTAACATCTACAATATTAAATAAAATGCACTAGCAAGATATGTTAGTTTGACGTTATAGATGTTTGTGTATTTATCAATAAACTTGATCAAAGTTGAAGTAGTTTTACCTAGGACAAGTCTAAAACAACTTATAATTGGGATCAGAGGGAGTACTTTTTAAAACCTAACTATCTAAAATTATCCATTACATTACATAAAATAGAAGAGAAACAACAAGAATGTGACCCAAAGGAAAGAATGCAACACAAAGGAGGGAATGGAGACTGAGGGCGGTTGAATGCGACACGAAGGAGGGAATGGAGACTGAGGGTGGTTGGCAAAGCTAGGAAGGCATAGATTCGAGTGGATATCAAGGCCACAAACTAAAGAAAAGGTTCAAAGTAGCAATTAAATTGGCCTCAAATTCAAATGGAGTGTTATATGCATTGCTCCCCCCTGCTAAAACATGATAGCATAAGGCACCGTTTAGTTTGCAAAATTTTTTGCGAAATGGTACTGTAGCACTTTCGTTGTTATTTGGCAATTAGTGTCCAATCATAGTCTAATTAGGCTTAAAAGATTCGTCTCGTGAATTTCGTCTAAACTGTGTAATTAGTTTTATTTTTATTTAAATTTAATGCTTCATGCATGCGTCCAAAGATTCGATGTGACGGGGAACCTTGAAAAAATTTGCAAAATGAAGTGGAACTAAACGGTACCTAACATACATGCATAAGTGGCAAATGCTCACACATCAACCTATCAGAGCAAATGTGCCAATTGTCACAATCACAATTAATGGTTCATTTAGTACCAAGCCTGATAGAGCACCCAACCACCAACACAAACGATTGTCAGAGAATTACACACTCATCAGTTTTGTTTGAATCATAAACAAATTGTTTCAGTGGGTAAACAGGCAGAATTTTATAATGACAGATGCCAATGGATGTGCCCACTACAATCACAATTTGTTCGAGAACTAGCACCGCCTAGCCATCAACTCCAGTGCTGAGCAAATAAAGCCTGATAGAGCACTCAGCCACCAACACAAACAATAGTCAGAGAATTACACATTCATCAGTTTTGTTTGAATCATAAACAAATTGTTTCAGTGGGGAAAAGGGCAGAATTTTATCATGACAGATGCAGATGGATGTGCCCACAACAATCACAATTTGTTCGAGAACTAGCACCTCGTAGCCATCAATTCCAGCACTGAGCAAATAAAGAGCACCTCATGTGGTACCAACAATGAGCACGTCAAGAAAAAAAAAATGTTGACAACAGTGAATCACAGTTCACAGCCAATCACAGTTATCAAATTCACAGGTCTAGTCACGCATTCACAAACCTACTTGAAGCAGTCAGAAGGGGCCCTGCAGTAATAGCGATCCACACAAAAGCTACTCAGTTAGCAAGCAGTACTACATACCAAACTACTAAATTTGAAAAAGGCATCAAGCACACGTTTGAACAAACGAATATCACAACTGGAGAGGAAAACGAACTATCCATGCTCATAGGAAGTAGAACTACACGCATAGTGACGCGGGATGCGGCTAGATTTGCGGCATCCAGATCACTAAGACGAAATCGAGATCGCAAGCCCACGACTACCAAGCTCCACTCCCAACCAACCAAACACCACCAGATCCGCGCGAGATTTCCCCAAAATGGATCCCGTGGAGCACCGGGGCGACAGATCTAGGCTGCTACCCGCTCACCTGCATGTTGCACTTGACGAGGTCGAGCGGCGTGACGGCCGTGTGGGTGAGCCCGCAGCTGGCGATTCCTCCGGCGGTGCAGGCGGCGTAGAAGGCCGGCGAGTACATCTCGATCTTCTCGTTGGGCGCCTGGATCGAGAACGGCACGCGGCCTCCTGCTCCAGCCGCGGCAGGCGCCGGGGAGGAGACAGGGAGGCGCGCGGCGGCGCCAGTGGCTGCGAAGGAGCGCGCCGAGGAGGAGTAGAGGAAGCTCGGGAGGAGCGACTCGCGGGAGCGGTCGGAGAGCGCCATCGCCGCCGAGAGATTCGGAAGATTCGTCTCTCTCGTGGGGCTTTGGGTGCTGGTGCTTTCTGAGCGCTCTCGCGGTCGCGTGAGTTTGACGAGGGAGGCGGATGCGAATATGAAGGGGGGATTTCCAACTTGCTAGGGCATCGATCTCTTCGGAGGCTGCGGCGGAACGTGGTTCGCTGACGCTGAGTGTGGGTCCCGCGATCTCGCGGCCCCGGACTAGGTTGGTGGCACTTCATTTATGCTAAATAAAAGAGTATATGCATTGTAGGCCTTTAAATTTGTCTCGGGGTCTATCACTTAGGTCTACAAACTCTCAAATCGTACTTCTGGCACTCTAATGTTGTTTAAGCATACCACTTAGGTTCATAACTCATCGGATCAAGGTTTTGGCCGACGTGGCGTGGACAGAGCGCACGTGAGCCTGGTTTGAGGGGCGTGCAAATAAGCAGAGAGCCCCCCAATTCTTTTCATATCCTCCATTTCCCCTCCTCTTACTAGAGCTGTCAGCATACTTAAACACGGCATGCAGCGCATGCGCGCAGACACACGATGGCGCCAGCCCGTGATCACCGTGCTTGAGTCGATGAGCACGTTGGTGGCGCCGAGCCCTCGCCATGAGGGTGGTGCCGCCGACGACGCACGCACCGTGATGTTGAGGAAGCGAAGGGTGGTCAGTCTTGCCTCGGCGATCATGCGGTGTAGGCCACGGCGTCGTGTTGCGATGGGGACGACGCGTCTCCGAGGGAGAAGCGAGCCCGAGGCGTCACCGGAGGTGGCCGCCAATGACGATGGAGAAGATGATGCCGTCTGGGGACGCGGTCAGGGAGACCAGGATACGGCTTCGGTGCGGGCGAAGCCCATGAGCCCCATTGCGCCGAGCCGAACAGCAGCGCGCGATTCTTGAGCCCCGCACCAACACGAACCCGTCCCAGTCAAGCGCCGCCGAAGCGCGATCGTGTCCGTGGCGAAACACGCCATGGTGAAGGACCCGTCATCCGTATGCCGAGACGTAGTAGCACCTCTCGTTGCCTCCCGCTGCGGTGGTACCGCAAGATCCGGCGTCGCGGTAGCCACCTTGAGGAGGCCGCGCGACGCGAGAGGCGTTACCGCCGAACCGTGGCGTAGGTGGCGGAGCCCGCGGTCGAAGAGCGGTCGTCGCTTCGCGCATAGCACGCGGGCGAGGCTTTTACCGCACCCAGTGTGAGGTCGCTTCCCATGTCCACGATGACGGTGAGGTTCGCGGCGGGGAGCCGGCCGAGCTACCGCCACCAAGCGCGCGATGGTGATGACGTAGTTGAGCGTCTGGAACCGGATGCTGGAGGTCAACGGGACCTCTGCCGAAGCCGGACCAGCGTGGCGTTGCTGTCACCGCCATGTCGTTGTCGTCGCGGAGCTGGAATGAGTTGGCACGCGATTCGTCGGCTACGAGGAGACGGACGGAGGTAGCGGTCGCGGGGGGCCTCTCTGCTTATTTGTACGCCCCAGACCACGCTCACGCGCGGCTCACGTGCGCTCTGTCCACGCCACGTCGGCCAAAACCTTGATCCGATGAGTTATGGATCTAAATGGCATACTTAAACAATATTATGGTGCCAGAAGTACGATTTGAGAGTTTGTGAACATAAATGACACCCTAAGACAAGTTCAAGGACCTAAGATGCATATACCTCTAAATAAAATGTGTTTGACATTTCGTGCACACCGTCAGAATAATTTCCATTTCTTTCAGCAAGCTTTATCAAGAGAACGAATGAGCAATTGGGGGTGCCTTTTTCCCATTGGATTTTCATCGCTCTGTGCCCCAGAAATGGATGCGTAGAGGATGGAAAGCATGACAAATCTTTGACCCATTTGGCTTTTTTCCCATTCGATGCATTTCATCGCTCTATGCCTCTATGTGCACCAAAATGGATGTATAGAGGAGAGAAAGTGTGACAAATCTTTGACCCGGTTGGGCAGAAATGGATGCATAGTGGATAGAATGAGTGACAAATCTTTGACCTGTTTGGCACTGCTCCACTTTATTTGTTTTTTTTTAATTTTGCTCTTTTTTTTAGCTAAATACGCACAACTTCACCGGCTCTGCTCAAGATTAAGTTGGGGTTCATGAAGCACGTAAAAGACCAAAATGGTATTTTAAAACTTCAGCTTTTTATGAGGTTGCTCCATATTGAAGTTGATAGAATGATCATAAATAGATCCTATAAAGTTTGAGTTTTGAAGCTATAATTCCACATTGATATGTTGGTGGTAAAATATTTATACAGCGTCATGATTTCTTCTTTTTTGAAGACTTGCCGGAGACAGTGGTCAGAATATGCAGGTGAATACTCCACCGGGACGACCTTTGTACCTTGTTGTCCCGACCACCTATTTGACCCATGTGTAAATTGGTGACCAGAAGAAAAGTAGGACGGGGGTGGGGGCCGGGGACACGGGGCCAGATGCCTTTGTGGCCCTCCCAGCAGACGGGCCGCCCGATTGATCGACCAACAGTCAGGTCCATGGCCAATTTGTGCGCTGGTCAATCAATTAATAAAAAGAAAAGTTGTGCACAATTGCGACTCGGCAAAAAGCAGAAGAGAACGTCAAGTGTTGATTTACAAGGTGTGCAGATTGCAACAACCCCTAAGCTGTGTGGACCTTTTTCAGCCCAAACTTGCTTATCTCAGGTGTTTGATCAGATTGCAACAACCCCTAAGCTGTGTGGACCTTTTTCAGCCCAAACTTGTTTATCTCAGGGCCTGTTTGATCCCATGAATTAATAACTAGTTAGCTAAAATTTAGTCTATGAGAATCTAAACAGGTGGACTAATAGATGGATTATCAACTAGTTCAAACCCTAACAGTTCACCGTCAAATCCAACTATCAGAACCAGTGATTCCACCCGATTAGAAAAAAGGACATCCCTTACCCCCACCTGAACGCGACCCCACGCGTTTCCTCTCTCTCCCTCCCGCATCCGCGCGCTGCATCTCGCGGTCTCGCCGGCCGTCGCCGCCACCCTTTCCTCTCTCCACGGACCCGGCCACCGGTGTAGCCATGCGCTAGAACCGCACAGCAGTGGAGGAGGATGCGGCACGCCCAAACCTGCCGCCGTCCACCGTTACTTCCCCCTTCGCGCCACTTGCCCGCCTGGCCGCCACCCTCCTGGCCGGCAAGCAACCCACGCTTTGGCGCCACGCACAAGTCACCGTCGCCGAACACCCCACGCCCCCTGCGAACTCACCTCATCTCACCTCGCTACAGAATCGCTTTCGTCCTCCCGCGAAGCCATCCTTTCCCACCCGTGCGTCAATTTCCGCGCCCCAAACAATCAAACCTTCATTTGCTTTAAAACCAGCGTCGTCCCATGCAAACTTCCAAAGACGATCCTCCGAGAGCTACAGCTGCTCAGGACGCAGACACCAACAAACCAACCCACCCGACGCAAGGAACCGAACCAAACACCGTCCCGCCGATGTCGGCGACGACGGCGCCCGCGCGCCACCGGACGTGCCGCATGTACTGGTGCTACCAGTGCGGCCGCGCGCTCCGCATCATCTCCTGCCCGTCCACCGACGTCTTCTGCCCGCGCTGCTTCGGCCGCTTCCTCCACGAGATCGACCCGCCGGCGCGCCCCGCGTTCCCGCCTCCGCACTTCCTCCCGCACCCGTTCCACCCGCAGCACCAGTACGACGGTCACCCGCGCCGCTGGGTCATATACGGCGGGGAGCCGACGACGACGGTACCAGGCCGCGCGTTCCGCCAGCCTGCGCCGTCGCAGGCACCTGCCACGCCTCCTGCTCCTGCACCGGCAGCGCCGGTTCGACGGCGCGTGCCCTCCCCGCCGCCACCGGTGCCGCGGCGGCCGTCCACTCCCCCGGCCATCGACCCCGGGAACTATTTCACGGGGCTAAACCTGAACAACCTCATCGAGGAGATCACGCAGAACGACCGGCCGGGGCCGGCGCCGGCGCCGCCGTCGGCCATCGACTCGCTCCCGACGGTGCGGATCACCGGGGCGCACCTGTCGGACGGCTCGCAGTGCCCCGTGTGCAAGGAGGACTTCGAGCTCGGGGAGGCCGCGCGGCAGCTGCCATGCAAGCACGTCTACCACTCCGACTGCATCGTGCCGTGGCTCCGCCTGCACAACTCCTGCCCGGTCTGCCGGTACCAGCTGCCGGGAGCCGGGTCCAACGGCAGCAGCCTGCAGGCTGCACCTCGCGGCGGAAGCAACGGCAACAACAGGAACAGGGAGAGGGAGAGAGAGCCCGCGACGTTGGTGCGGTGGGGGCCCTTCTCGTGGCTGTTTCCACCGCGCGGGATGGACGACCCCGACGACGCGTGGGAGCACGGGCGGCGCGGCAGGCACGACGCGGCCGACGCCGGAGGTAATGACATGACGGCCCTCCAGTCCTTTGTTCTTGTGGCAACCTGCGTTTTCTTCTTCTCCTTCATGATCTGAAAAAAAAAACTGGGCGATGTACGAAGACGACATATTGAAGGAACATGCCAAGTTGTGCATAAATTTAGCTTGCTGTTTTTTTTTCAATCAACCAGCGCCTAAATAATCCACGATACGAAGCCGTTTCTTGTTGTTTAATCAACTTCGCCTTTTCTAAGCCGTTTCTCATCTATCATTTGCTTTCAGCATTCTACGCTTGGTGGCGCTCTCTGTTTCTCATATAGATGTTCTCGTGGAGTCCTTATCGTATCCAGAGAAGAACGCCTCCTACCCAGTTAAGTGATGTGATCAAATTCTTCTCTTCCAGTCTTCCTACTTCAGATTCAGAATGCCGATGTGCTAGCAACCTAACAGCAAACTACAGGTAACTATGGCGCCGTTCTGCCAGTTCAATGTCAAGTTGTCAACGGTGCAAGATTGGTGGAAGCCTGATGTGAAGATGTAGACCTGCTCTTGTAAAAATGAAATCGCGTCCACTGTAAATGCGAGTAAATCACGCACCGTAAAAGGAGCGTGCAAAATTAAAAGGCGGGCTCCATGTAAAGCGAGTAA